GGTATGAAATGCGTATTATATATAAAGAATTCTGACAACTTTTTTTATTTTTGATGAAATCATTCTCTGTCATCAAATTCATGAACTGTAGTATAAATCCAAGATAATCATATTAATGCTGTGTTTGTTTAACAGATTTTTGGACCTGTTCAAGCAATTTTCAAATTCAAGACAATTGAGGAAGTATTAGAGAGAGCCAACAATACTTCATTTGGACTTGCTGCATCTGTGTTTTCTAGAGATATAGATAAAGCCTTGACTATTGCCAATTCATTGCAGGCTGGCACTGTGTGGTAAGTTTGAATTATTGAACTCTGCATTCTTCAATCACTTATTAGTGATACAAGGTCAGAATCATTTATTGACTAATAAGTTATATGTTTATTTATCACTGATTTGTGTTAATTTACATATTCATTTATTTAGTTATTTATTAATTTTGTTAGTTAATCTTCATATTAATATACTTATTTTTGGCCCTCCACTTCATACATTATAATTTACATCCAGTGTATATTGGAAATCAGACTAGACTAGCAGTGAGCTATTTTCTGATTTCCTTTTTATCCAATATATATATTTTTTTCTTACCATTTGTTTTTCTCCGTATTTGTTTTTGTGTGTGGCTTACTTTAGGTATTATTTTTCAGTGTTTCTTATTGGTATTATTGGGTAAATAATTATTATTATATCACAATAATTTTATAGCATGGTGACCATTAAATGAAACCTTTCATAGGTTGTCACATAACATTATCCATTCAAGTAATTGCAGTGAAATGAATGTATAAGCAAGCGTAAATGAAGTTTTGTTATGAATTTTCATTTTCGTTTTTAACTTTTATCCCAAACCATAGGGTGAACACCTATAATGCTGGGGGAGCTAATGCACCTTTTGGAGGCTACAAAATGTCTGGAAATGGACGAGAGCTGTAAGTTATTGGTTAATTCATTTAAATAATTCATTTATATAATATATTGACAAGCTGTTTATAGTCAATCATTGTTTAATATTACATCTAAGATTATCTGCTCTTGTCTGTCATTATGTTTCAGGGGCGAGTATGCTTTACAAGAATATACTGAAATCAAAACTGTAAGTATCAAGAATTATTTTCTTTCAAAGCCAGACCTTTTATGTCTGAACATTTGTGGAAAATATTTATTTTGTTATTTTTTGTGTCTCCGCCTGTCCTGGGCTGCCTTTAATGATAGCTTTGTATTTCTTTAGCAAATGTCAGACTTCTTTAGAACTTCAGGATAGCGATATAAACAAAATTAAAATTATTGAGATCCAGGTAGAAAATTGTACTCTGTAACCTACACTGTATAATATGATGAAGATATTACAAAGATACCGCAAAGTATGCACAAAGACAATACAATGTATTTACCATGATCATCGTTTAGCGACCATGTACTGCCTGAGCATATACTTTGTGGAATACTTGTAATAACCTTATTATTTTCAATCTTTCTAATCTAACCGCATTGTATGTGAAGCAATGAGAAATGAGCAAGTAAAAATTATTGCTGTCATCGTAACTTCATTTTTAAACATGTCTACCATCTTTTGAATTCACTTTTCATAATAAGCTGGAATGCGGATACCCCATGTTGTATTGCATCTTTACGATCTGCTGTAACTAATGTATATACAATGACAGGTTCATAATAATAATCAATATGCTTTCCAGATGTTTAATTTTAATTTAGCAACTTTGTCCCCCCCCCCCCAATTGAGTATTTTTTTTTTCATCATTGAATTTTAATTTTGTAATATTTCTTTGTAGGTAACTGTCAAGCTGTCTCAGAAAAACTCATAGGATTGTCTATATGAAGTGTGACAATGGTAGAGAATGATTTATATAATGGATAATATTTTTGTAATTAATTACAGAACCAGTTAGCCAGGACTTACTCATCACCCAGAAAAGTTAAACTATGTGTGATTGCGATTTTGAGAAAATACAAACAATATAGTTTGCAATTCAGGATTCTGAAAACAAAAACAAACATGTCAAATGCAAGTCATTTGTTTTTCTTTTCTTGTTACTGTAATGTGGATTACACTAATTGTTGACATTCACTTGCACATATTGTTATTTTAATACAGAAGGAGTTTGATTATCTCAAGTAGATTTTTCATCACATTTTTACCATTAATCACCTCGCTAAAATCCACTAACTGTGCGTTATCACAGATTAATTCATTGTTCAATGTCAATTATTACATTATAAGTAATATTACGAATACAGAATACTATGACATTTATGTCTTGCGTATTTTGTGTGGAATGACTAATCATAAGGCCACTGTTTCAAACTTGTGTTTGACCGAGTGAAATCAGACATGAAAACAGAACAAACAAAAGTCATAGCATGTAGTGAAGTCAACACATCTTGTGGGATTTAACAAATGCGAAAATACTTCTTAACTATTTCCACGCTCAACAATGTGCTTATACATTTTGATTAGGGACAATTAGAATTTTAAGCTCACACGTTCTTTCCGCACATTTCACGCATTACGCGAGATCTCGCAGTGAACGGAAAATCACCTAACACGTGATAAAACACCATGAACTTTTCCTTCACATCAAAGCAGATGTACATTATCAAAATTAGTGTGCGTTCCCATTGCAGACACGGATATCAGAGGAAAGTGAGTGATATCATATAATATAAAGACATTTGATGTATCACCTGTATGTCGGAAATGTCAAGTTGTGTTCAGCAAAATAACAAAAGACTACCCTATCCAACACCAGCAACCATTGCACTGAGTTCTCTGTGCGTCATGTGTGGGCTAATGGCGACCATGGTACTGGCATAATACATATCAGAGTACAAACACTTGATTATTTTTGTTTTTATATTTTAATGAAATCTAACTATGCTTATAAAATGATATAAATTTGTCATGAGTCTTTCTTTCTATTATTTAGACTGTATAATGGAGTCAGATATTCACTCATAAGGATAAACAATCATGACTTGCTTTAGAATGGGATATGTTTTACCGGTACCTTTGGCCCACATCTCTAATATACTGATTGTTAATTAAACAGTTATTTTATTGAACCATTATGACATACTGATCATCACAAATCATGGGCAAGGTGATCAATAATGCTTAAGTTAGTTGGTAGGTGCTGCTGCCTTGTGCTAAAATTACATATATTGAAATAAGGACCCACTTTTCCACTTTTGCGTGGTTCGATGTCTGTCATTAGTCGTGAAATAAGATCCCTGGCTTTATGACGTACCTGTAACCCACGTCCAGTCCTTTCCTCGCCCAACCATTTATCTTGCTATGTAACAACTATCACTTATGTTTGCTGTAGAAGCCTTTGTGTGAACTTCAGTTCGTACTGTCGCCAAGGTATAGACAGGTCGAACATTTAAATGAAGGATGGTGCGAAAACGGGGACTTATGTTTTGACCTCCGTGTGTGTGCGTGCGTGTGTGCGTGCGTCCGGACCTGTATCTTAGAAATGCCTGGACCAATCACAATCAAACTTCACACATACATCATACATGATATTATACATACATGTATGCATGTCAACTTGTTTCACGATCTGATTCAAGATGGCCGAATGGCGGCCATTTTTGTGCTAAAAATCATCAAAATCAAGCATTTCTCGGCTGTTTACAGATGGATTTTGTTCAAACTTGGTATATACATTAGACATTATGGGACCTTGATGCAAATAATATTGTTTTTCAGATAAGATTCAAAATGGACGACTGGCGGCCATTTTGTATTAATGAATATGGTTCTCGTGCCACATCTCTGACTTGCTTTCACTGATTATGTTCAGATTTTAAATATTCATTATACATCATGTCATAGATAGACAAATGTATTGGTTTGACGATCCTCTTCAAAATGGCCAAATGGTGGCCGTTTTTGTGCTAAACAATCATCAAATATCGAGCATTTCTGGCATTTATGGATGGAGTTCGTTCAAACTTGATACATATATTAGACATTACAGGTTCCTGATGCACATCATTTATTTTTCAGATCGGATTCAAAATGGCTGTCTGACGGCCATTTTGTTTTAATGAATGGGCTTCTAGAGCCATATCTCTTAAATGCTTTGACTTATTATATTTAAATTTTATATATTCGTTATACATCATGTTGTATATATACATGTATTCAAAATGGCTGTCTTTGAATGCTGTTCCAGAGCAATATCTCTCAATATGGACAAGTACTTGTTTGGCAATCAGATACAAATGTCAATCATTTTAATGTTAAAAAATCATATTCCTGACATGGTTATATTCCAGCTATATTACTATAAACAAAACTATACATCTTAAATTTGATAACTAACTGGGACTGTGCCATGCATGGCTTGTTAAAATTATATCGTGCACAAAAGAAACAATCTTTGCAAGAATCAATAGCAGGAAATAAAACTGCACGCTCAATATTATATTTTGAACAGTTTTTCTGCCAACGCAAATAGTTTCTGATGATTCATCCCTTAGTTTAAAAATAAACTCAACTGCTTATGTGAAGTGATTGTTTTGCTGTGTATAATATACATCATTCTGTAAAAGTATTAGTTTTTTATTGAAAGTAAACAAATATTATTTAAAAAAAAGCTGTATAGTGTAAAAAGCACAGTTTATTTAAATGTTCTTCAACCCTGTTTTTCTTCAGTAAAAGTAAATTTTGTACGCGAAGCACATGTAGAGTCTACAGTGTTCAGTTTTATTCAGTATCACGTGACTATAGCCTCTGCCAATCCTGTAGATGAATGAACGTCGTTATGATATGTTGTACACTTGTGTGTCAAGACTCTGACAGTCACTGACTGCTTCGCGTTCTTGTGCGTTTGTAGAGACATCATGCATTTTGGCACGATAGAGTATGTAAAGTTGTGTTTACTCGTGCCATGTTGCTTCAAGTTGTTGCAAGCGATGAACAATTTGCAGTTGGGGAGTAGTACACCGAGGTAACGGCGAAGGTGGCATTTAATTTATTAGTATATCGCTTCAAATAAAAAGTTTTCAAACTTGTACTCGTGGACCAGTCGTTATTTATTCTCTGATGATGGCATCTTCAGTTCAAGTTTCTCGGTGACTGTATCGCCTACAGATGACATCTTCAGTTGTTTACTAGGAGCTGTATTACTGAAAGTTCCAGAACAGTTGAGTATGACATGCGCAGCTATGTACTTGTATGTCGGATGTAGTAAACTTGTTGGTGTCCAAGTCAATAACGTATCCTCGTACGTAACGTGGTACGGCTACACACTGGCTAGTACCGCTCACGCCAGTACATGACGTAGTCAGACATGTCTCTTCAAAAATCAGCTGCTTGTACTGCAAATCTGAAAGCTGAACAAATTGATCAGTAAATTAGTTACAAAAACACTAGATTTGTCCACACATTTTGATATTCTGTGATATCCTAGTTCAACGATTCAAATGCTTGATTTTAGGCGCGTGTCACCCACGTCTCTACGTGTCTCAAGCGTCTGAAATTGACATGTACAAGTAAACCATGGCTTCAAATATTTAATGCTTCTCGATCAATCAGAATCTAAATGCTCTATTTCAAGATCACACACACAGAATGTCCTGTTCACATTAGTTTAAATCTCTTGAGTATGGTCATAACTAGGATTAATTAAAATCTCCGATTTCATAATTTGTCGTAGAATTTTGTTATATGTTCTTGTTCTCGAAAATCGACCTAATAATTATGTATAGACCACAGGACATATATTAATATGCAAAATAATGTGTATCTTTGTTTTAATTCTGACATAAATCAATCAGCAGGCACTCCAGGTAGATTTTTTTCAGAGATTATAGATGTAATGTATTTGAACAGCGATTTTGTCACATTTACGCAAAAGGTGTGGCATCAGTTTATTTTCTTCACAGTACTCATTTGAATCTTCAATAATATATTTACTTAGCAGTTATATTATTCGTCGTAGTTATCAAAATATTTACCTGTACTACCTGCACTAGACGATTATCTGCAGTCATAGCAAGACCAATTTCATTCCATCCAGATGTTACCTCGCAGACTCGTGTACCGTAGTTTGTATTTCCCCGATTGCCATCTCCTTGCGCCGAGAATATCGTTTCGCCTGCCATAGGATAACTTTTACTGCTCGTAGGCGTGAAAAATGATCCATACTGTTGTAAAATACTTCTCTGTTGATCAGTGGTGAGGTCAATAATTCCGTCATTGCGATGTTCTTCTATCAACTGAGTGACCGGTCTACCTCGAAATTGTTCAACAGATTCCAGTTGATCCTGTGTCAATTGCAGATCAATATCTTCGATGGGTTGTAATATTTCATATTCACGGTGTACTGTGTCGATGCCGATTCTATCATTTCTGAGTACATAACATTTAACCACGACGCACATTAGAAGCAGCAAGTATTGCTTCATCTTGGCGAATAGCTCCAGTCTGTGGAAAGTGCTGGAATTCAAACCACGCAATGATACTTAAACGTTTACTTGTCTAAGGTCACTTCCTACAAATATCATATTACCATGATCTTTCGGCTGATCTTTACACACAAGAGTTTTCTGACCTTTCAGGAAACGCGGTAGACAGAAATTGTCGTCACGTGTAGTTATTTCCAGTTTCTTCAAATAAGGTATTGATCATTAGAAACCTTGGAGTGCATATAAAAACAATCCCACACAAATTTGATAGAAACTGCAGGAAATATTTATTTGAAAAGTAATTCTACCCTCTTACTCAGATTTTTTAGTGGTCAACCCCCTAAGTACAGAAATTTAAATGCCGAAAACGTCACTGTGTACTCTTCCGTCCTGTGATTCAGGCTCAGACTACATTGCGTCAATATACCATATTGATTTAATCTACGTTGTCTTTATTTTATTAGGGTTTCGAGCCCTATGGGTCGAAACCCTATTGTAATTGCTTTGCTTATTATTTTTCCGCCGTTTTTTGTAACCACTGTAATTTGAAAAATAATGCTGCGATTGATTTGCTATTTTGCATGCTG